GGAATTCCCATAGCTGTCCTGGCCTCTTCCTCAGTAGCAAACGAAGAACTGCTCTACTGATCGTGTCTGCAGCGCCTGATTAAAAGTCCGGTCCGCCCGTTTTTTCCCTTGGGTGCTGAAAGCCGTCCAAACCATCTGCACAGTCTCCTTCGGTTTATGACATTTCTCAGCACTATTTTCACCATCTGCACAGTCTCCTTCGGTTTATGACATTTCTCAGCACTATTTTCACACTGTACAAATGATTACAATATTAAGCGACAAGAAATATTTAAAGGACATGTCTTGTGCCATTAGTGATAGACTCGCATTGGTGCTTTACTATTATTTTACCCCAAACAGGGGAAATCCACAGGACTAATATTTCTGGGGGTGGTAGATAGGTTGCATGCAGTCGTGGGACCTAGGCTGCAGGTATTCGTATGTCCTAGGCTGCGCTCTCTCGTGGGATGCAGGTGAGTTGAGGTTAGGACCAGATGTTTTGGGGTTGTTAAAAGCATCATAAAGCCGGGAAACCCAGTCTTAACACTCCATAAAATGTTGGACTGTCCTGGGACGTCATTTGGAGGTAGGATATTAATAAAGAACCCTCGTATTTTATAGATAGCAGTTCGACTTCAACAAACGAAATTTATTAGTTAGTAGAAAGATTATCATCATCGCACATTGAACCATCCAGTACATAAGTGTTCAGATCCCCTCTTCAGTATCTTCCTTAGCGGTTCAATGGCTTATGACACCAGTTTTGTGTTTGTTTACTATTCTTCTCTGGGTCCCTGTGTAGCGCTCTAGTCTGACTGTACCACTTTTGATGTTATGCTGGTGTAGTCTCGTCAGTGTTGCAGATTTACAATCAGTACTTGATTCGTTTAAGTTTAGCTGCTTCACCAAGGGCGTTCAGTATATGAAGCATGTCCATTGCTCGTCAGTTTCCCAAGTGAACATCACTTGCAAGTCTGTCAGCTCGTTCAATGCCCTTTACACCAGAATGGCCCAGAACAAACATTAAGCTGATTTTAGTCACCCTAGATCTATTCAGGGACTCAACCCATTGTCTTCGTATGCCACCCTTCTCGATCTTATACCATCTGAACAGCACTCGGTCTCGTTTACCCTCAGTCAACACCAAAAACACTTAAAGACAACCAACCCTTTTCAGCAGAAGCATCATGAATTGGAGAATCGCGAAGCTATGAGGTGACGAGTTGCGGAACTTTGTCAGAACAGTCACGTACTGACTCGTGGAGTCCTCATCCGGCGACCTGGTTATCAGGGCATCACACACGCTTTCTGGCAATAGAGGCTCCGGTAGACGAACGAGGAAAGTCTTGATGGCCTCAATGACGTCATGAATGTTCTCGTGTTTTATTTTACTTAATCTCGGAGCCAGCAGATGATTCTGCAGACGACAAGGGAATTAAAACATATACACACAACATTTGTATCTACAATCTATTATTGGGCAATCCCATTATAATTGCTTTAGTGGGTTGCAATTTTTAATTATTTGAAGCCTCACCCTAGCTTTTGCCGGGGTCCCTGAATATACGTGGGGTTTCTGGGATCTCTCCACGGGGGATCTTCATCCGCATGGTGGCACTTGTGTCACCGGGTGTTTGTCGCTTGTGTGATGTCCTGGTGGGGTACACCAAGCAAGCAAGTAATCCCATTAATTAAATTATTTATTATTTGATGAACCCATTCATTACCACCGATAACACAGCCTGTCTTTGGGTCGCTAGTTGATGATGACTGTCAGAATAGCTGCCTCCACCTCTGTAGATCAGACGCAACTGACCAGGTGTTTTCATGTTTGAAGTCGGTTCATTCAGCCAGACTATGTATCCAGGTCTTTGCTTTTCGCCTCTTGCCCTCTACAGAGCCCTTTAGTATTGTTTATTGAACTAGGCACGACTGGATAAGGCGTTTATTTAACTAGGCACGACTTGGTAAGGCGTTTATTTAACTACCCACGACTTGGTGAACCCTTTCACTCAACTATTCAATACTGGATAGACACATTCGGTTGGCTATCTATGACTGGTCTCTGGGTAGCAAGATCGGACGCCCGTATGTATTGTTGCACAATTAAAAAATCCAGTGACAGTTGGAAATCGAAAAAAGTAGCCTATTTTTGCTGCCCGGGCAAAATTCAGAGTTAAAAATATTCAAAAGTATTTCAGGATCCTCGCATGTGATACGAATTTGGTGCAAAGCGCTCAGATTCTTCGGACTCAGGCTTGAGTTAGAAGTAGAACGGAGCACATGGGTTACCACTTTTGTGTCATAATGTTGATCAGTTGTATAAACCAAACCATAAACCACCTATAACTGGATACATCAAGTAATTCAGCTGTTTATTTTTAGAAAATTTAGTGACTAAACTATCTGTCATCGGAAAACTGACTTATTTAAATATCTATTGCTGATAACACCAATCATTTCAACGATCTATTACGCGATAAACAGTCATTAAAAAAAAAAAAAAACTTTATTTTACTACCTGCAGGCACTTAAAAAAAAAAAAAAAGGAGACAGCCCACAAAACAGCAAATTACTTTGTGACCGTAGGGGTCCCAGTTATTGTGTAGAAAGAAACCCACCCGCACTGGACTAGGGATTTCTTCGTCGCCGTCATTTGGTGAATAACTGTGCTGTATGGCTCCCAGCCTTGAATGGCTACCAGGTATAATTCTGTTCTGGCAAGTAAAGACGGTCGGCTTGGCGTTAACCAGATGACTCTGAGAGTGCCAGCTGGTCTATGAAATCTAGGTCTAACCCTATATGCCCAGTACACCTAAGGGCGCGGAAAAGGGTCTTTTACTTACTTTACTATCTGACTAAACGGTCGAACGGGGTTTCAGGATTTGTACTTTTTTGCGTCTGATGAGATGAGAGATTAAGATGCTAATTCATCAGACCAGAAAGGTTGAACGGGGTTTCTGTAATTTTTCGCATCAAACTATTGGCTATTTGAGCCCTAGATATCAATATTGCAGGCACGAATACCATTGTTGGTGGTGGTGGTGGTGGTGGTGGGGGTTGGGTAATAAAAGTCCAGCTTTTAATCCTGAAAATTATTCCTTAAAACTAGGGGTTGATCTCAGTTGTTTTATATAGCTCTGAAAATCTGAGCAAAACCAAAAGAGATCAGCCTCGTTACGCCCTCTAGATCACGTCCTGCAAGACTGCCCCAAATACAAAATATCAAGGCAAAACTTTTGGCCAGGAGAAACACCGGTACAATTTTAGCTGCAGATTACAGGACGCTGAGTGAGTCACAAAAGACACTGAAATTCATAGTAGAGACAACATTACAGAAATAATATTTTTAAAGTAAACGAAAGAAGAAGAATTTTTTTTTTTTTTTTTTAGAAAATGGAGTGCTTTAGCAATAACGCAATTCATCATCTGTTTAAATCCTCACGGACCACTATCATCTTGAGGGGTAACAGACTTAAATGGCTGGGGCATTTTGAGAGACTGTCAGATGAACGAGAGGTAAACACTGTGTTATTTTCAAAGGGTCACAAATTGGGCACACAGATTCGACTTACATTCGGCTCTTCAAAACTCCTATCTTTCACACGCCAATTGTATTTTATCAACAAAGCAGGTTTGTTCTTATCAAATATGCATGATATGAATGTCAAGGAAAAAACACGAAAGCATGGATAATAAAGGCATGAGCACATGCACACATACACACACACACACACATACACAACACACACACAATAACTCACCCACCCATGCATTAATTTACCCATTCGTCTCACCCACACATATATAAACACACACATACAGAAGAAGGGGCTGACCTAAATGGTAGGTATCCTCTTCTTCTTTTACGTTCGCGATGGCCGGCTGTAAACTCTAGCAGAAAGTTCTGGCTGTTTGTCCACCTCTGGTCTTGTTTCAGAATCTGAGTCTTGCGTGCACATCCAATGAACATATCTGACTTAAATGTATGAAGGTTGTTGGTTCCTTGATTCTCAGGCACTCCGACTTCGAAGGAAGCCCCAATTAGTCGAATCTTACGACATGCTTGATCTGGAGGCAGTGGGTCTGTTCTTGTTTTCCCATAACGGAGACCCGTAACGCTAACGGGGTATATGAAAGGTATAAAATGCATTAGTTAAGGTAAGTCTAATTCAGAGTTTTGAGCCATGCCATTTGTACACCGCAAATTAAGGAAATGTCTAAAATACTATTTTCGAGGTAACTATTATTTCAACCATCTTTGCACCCCTTCATTTAAATATCTGCTATACACTAATTGGCTAACCTCTTATTATTATTTTGTTAAGGGACATTACATGTTTGACTACTCGTTGCTAGTGTACGCTCATTATATAAACTTTACCGCCTTTATTCCCCAGGATACTTGCTGGAACCCATTGTGAGCTGAGTCTACCCAAGAGCCTCGATTAGTGCACAAGAAAACCGTTTTGATGTGGATTCGAACCCAAAATATTAGAGCCCCGAAATTAGCTTGTTATTACTGTGCTGCTGTGGTTTCCGTTTCATGAAAAGTTAGGTTAAATCAGTAGTAGATTTTAACCCCACCAGGACATCACACAAGCGATAAACACCCGATGACACAAAGTGCCACCATGTGGATGAGGATCACCCGTGGAGATGTCCCAGAAAAAGCGTTCAGCCATTAGACGATATTTATGGTCGAGCAATACTGCGCCCCTTGGAAAGAGCCAGGGTGGGACTTCAAAATAACGAAAAGTTGCATCTCTCAGGTAGGTAGATGATTAGGTTAAAAAAACGTAAAGGGGAATATATAGTCGAATCATAGTCATCCCTTTATGGATTTGAAGCCCCACCCTGGCTTTTGCGGGGGTCCTAAATATAGCCAGGCCATAAACGGGGTCTCCGTGACCTCTCCACGGGTGATCCTCATCCGCATGGCGGCAATCTGTGTCAACTGGTGTTTATAGCTTGTGTGATGTCCTAGTGAGGTACAGTTTCCTTACTTACTTACTTACGTAAAGGGGATATAACTTACCAGGCAGGAGTTAACTTTGGAGGCATTCCCCTGGGTCTGAAACAATCCTTTAGTCTTAAGATTTTTCTCAATGACAAAGGCAGCATTGGTGAGCACCCTGCAAGAGTAAAAAATATGGCGTAATTTAAGTTTAGCTACATCTGGGATGATGGGGATGGGGGAGATGGCGGATACGCTGCTAGACCCAACAGCTACAGTAGTAGTAGGCGTAGTAGCAGTAGTAGTGGTAGTAGTACTACTATTTGTAGTAGTAGTAGTAGTAGTATTAGTAGTAGTAGTAGTAGAGACACCAGCAGCAGTAGTAGTAGAGACAGCAGCAGTAGTAGTATTAGAGGTAGTAGAGACAGCAGCAACAGTAATAGTAGAAGTAGTAGTAATAGAAGTAGTAGTAGTAGTAGTAGTAGTAGTAGTAGTAGTAGTAGTAGTAGTAGTAGTAGTAGTAGTAGTAGTAGTAGTAGTAGTAGTAGTAGTAGTAGTAGTAGCAGAAGCAGCAGCAGCAGCAGTAGAATAAGCAGCAGCAATAGTTGCAGTAGAAGCAGCAGCAGCAGCAGTAGTGGCCGTAGAAAGAGTAGTAGTAGCAGCAGAAGCAGCAGCGGTAGTAGTATTTAGTCAGTGATTTGAAAGATTATCCGAATGCACATTGAACCATTCAGTCCATTTGTGTTAACTTCACCTCCTTAGTAAATCCCGAAGCGTGTAGCAGCTGAATACACCATTATTGTGGTGGTGGTGGTGGTAGTAAAAGCAGTAGCAGGAGTAGCGTTAGTAGTAGTACTACAAGCAGTAGAAAAAGTAGAAGTAGTAGTAAAAGCAGTATTAGTTGAGTTAGTAGTGTTAGTAGTGTTAGTAGTAGTAGTAGAAGTAGTAGAGGTAGTAGAAATAGTAGTAGTAGTAGTAGTAGTAGTAGTAGTAGTAGTAGTAGTAGTAGTAGTAGTAGTAGTAGTAGTAGTAGTAGTAGAAGTAGTAGTATAAGTAGTAGAAGCAGTAGAAGAGGTAGTAGTATAAGCAGTAGAAGAAGCAGTAGTTGAAGCAGTAGTAGTAAAAGAAGTAGTAGTAGAAGTAATAGCAGTAGTAGTGGTAGCAGTAGCAGTAGTAAAATTAGTTGTAGCAGTAGTAGTAGCAGCAGTAGTTGTAGCAGTAGAAGTAGTAGTAGTCGAATCAGCAAAAGCAGTAGTAGAAGTCGCAGTAGCTGTAGTAGTAGATTTAGTGGTAGAAGTAATAGTAGTAGTAGTAGAAGAAACAATAGTAGTAGCTGTAGTAGTAGCAGTAGTAGTAGTAGCAGCAGCAGCAGTAGCAACAGCAGCAGAAGTTGTAGTAGAATCAATAGTAGAAACAGTAGTAGTAGCAGTGCTAGAAGCAGTAGTATAAGCAACAGCAGCAACAGTAGTAGAAGCAGTAGTAGTTGTAGAGAAAGGGATTAGTAGGAGAAGAAGAATCAGGAAAAAAATATAAGAAGAAAGTAAGTGGACGGAGTAGAAGTAGAGGAGGAGGAGGAGGAGGTGGGGGAGGAGAAGGAAGAAGAATAAGAAGAAGAAGACTACAGCGGTTTCCTGACGAAGATTATGATTGTATGGACTGATGACAACATACTCACACAGGTACGTAGCCGCAGTCCTTGACAAACTGTGTGTGTAGGCGTTCACAGTGCCTACCCAGGGCTGACATAGTGTCCGCCACCACAACCTGGCTCTCGATGACAGGAAAATTCTAAGGAAATGAAAGCGCATCTTGGAGAAAACAACAAAAGATGAGACACCTTTGAAGGTTAGCTGTCTAGCCTTTACAGGACGTCGCAATCCAGCATGTATTTGTTTGCATGTTTGTGGTTCTAATGGATAATTTGATTTTCTACGGGTTTTCATTGGGTTTTAGACGTTCGACGCCTACATATTTGTGGCAATGAAGGTACAGATACCTATTGTCATATTGCCCGAAGTTTAATCAAACCTGGCATGTTACAGTTAAAAAGTCGTTATAACCCCCCAAGGGAGCTGCCATGATGTAGCGGCTAGACGCTTTCATGCGGATCGGAAGTTCGTGGATTAAAGTCCTGACGGTACCGGTAGTAGTGGTGGTGGTGGTAGTAGTAGTGGTGGTAGTAGTAGTGGTGGTGGTGGTAGTGGTGGTGGTGGTAGTGGTGGCGGTAGTAGTAGTGGTAGTGGTAGTAGTAGTGGTAGTGGTAGTGATGGTGGTGGTGGTAGTAGTAGTGGTGGTGGTGGTAGTAGTAGTGGTGGTAGTGACGGTGGTAGTAGTAGTGGTAGTGGTGGTGGTAGTAGTAATGGTGGTGGTGGTTGTAGTAGTAGTAGTGATGGTGGTGGTGGTAGTGGTGGTAGTAGTAGCAGTAATGGTGGTGGTAGTAGTAGTGGTAGTGGAAGTGGTGGTAGTAGTGGTAGTGGTGGTGGTGGTAGTAGTGCTGGTGGTAGTAGTAGTGGTGGTGGTGGTAGTAGTGGTGGTGGTGGTAGTTGTGGTGGTAGTGGTGGTGGTAGTAGTAGTAGTGGTGGTGGTGGTGGTAGTATTAGTGGTGGTGGTGGTAGTAGTAGTAGTAGTGGTAGTGGTGGTAGTAATAATGGTGGTGGTGGTAGTAGTGGTAGTGGTGGTGGTAGTAGTAGTAATAGTAGCAGAAGTTGTGTTATCATATTAATGATAATAATAATAATAATAATAATAATAATAATAATAATAATAATAATAACAATTATAATAATAATTCTCTTTCACCTTGTACCTCATCGAAGTGTCGGGGGGAGATGTAATGTTCGTTGATGAGCTCTATTAGGAATGATGTTCATTTCTGTAAGACTGTTCCTAATGCCATCACTCCATATTTTCCGAAGTCTTCCACTCGCTTTATACCCATTGTATAATAATATTAATAATAATAATAATAATAATAATAATAATAATAATAATAATAATAATAATAATAATAATAAAATAATTATTATAATAATACTAGTAAAAATGAAGGAAACCAGACTACAATGTGTTCAGATTCCCCTTATGTATTCCACAAGAGGAGACAAACACTATTTATTTATCCGTTTTCAGTGGACTCGGTTCGTCACAAATTTGATCAAAACAAACCTGGACCAACTAACCATACCTTATTCTGTCGCTTGCGTTTTCGTTTCATGAACGCTAGCCATTTCTTCAATCGTAGCCATGTCATCTTGTGCCCAGATCATGCTTTTAAATGGTTCTATTTATCTCGCATATTTATCAGCAGGTGGTACACATGCTTCTCTGAGGGTAGACTGGAGATAGAGGGCGGCACCAGATGATAATGTCCGTCATTAAAGGTGGATGTTGATGGAGGATTGATGCAGCAGGAAGCAAGGCTGACTCTTGATCTATGTCTATGTTTGAAGACCATAGCGCACTGTTACTAACTGTATCTATAAGCGGGAATTGCCGTTTTCAGTTGAATGTTATTCTTAACCATGAAGAAAACAAAATAATCAGCACTGATAATGAATTAAAGCTTTACATGCATTTTTTAGAATCTTCTTCTTCTTCAGCATTCTGAGCCCTTGAGGTTCATTGCTGCAGATATCAACCGCTTTTATTCATCTCTCTGACTGGCCTTTTCTTTCCAGTTGATAACACTAAGTGTTTGCAGGTCTGCCTAGACATTATCTCGCCATGTTCTTTTTGGTCTGCCTCGTGGTCTACTACCAATTATCTCCCTTGTGTATACACTTTTTACTTCTGTCATCTGACATTTTTTTAGAATACGATGAAAAAATATAGACATCTTACATAATCTAACATCGAGGAAAATTGGCTCACAAATAGCAGTCTGTCCCGAAAGCTAGTGTATGTTAGCCATGTCAAACGGCAAGGTGGACTGACAAATCGGTAACGAAGGGTACAGTGTCCGGAAAAAGAGCCGAGGTCGACTACCCGAAGATGAATTCAAGATACTGAAGATGCACTGACTATGACTATGATAGTTGTGGGTGATCATTGACAACACTCCGGGCAGACCCATTGGTGCTCCAGTCCCTTCCTCGGTAAAAAGAATAAGCATAAACAGTTTGACTAGTCTTGTAAAAATAACGTACGCAAAGGATCCTTTTCTTTTTATACGCCAGTCATTTATATTATTATAAACCGTCTTTACTTCCAGGACATACTGACTTACGTCCTTCTTAGGACGTAATTTTTTTTTTATTTTTTTTTTATTTGAAGCCCCACTCTGGCTTTTGCCAGGGGCCGCAATATAGGCAGGTCATCATTATGGCCAAATGTCTGAACGCGGTTTCTGGGACCTCTCCACGGTGATCCTCATCCGTATGGTGGCACTTTGTGTCATCGGGTGTTTATCGCTTGTGTGATGTCCTGGTGGGGTAAAAAGCCAATCCAATCCAATCCAGGACATTACGTGGTACATATTTGAGATATGATTGACTGGAGCCAATAACGCAACAAATAATCCACCTCTATGCGGACCTGAACTTAAAACACTGACGTCGACAGGTGAGCTTCTACCACTAAACCACGGTAGCTGCAGATTACTCGGGTGCCCTTATTGAACACTGCAGCTTTAGACTGCATACCCCACCCACCCCGTCCCCTCGTTTTCCGCATTAATTACGCTGGACATTTTTATCCTAAGCCACGCCTTAGTCGTCATCTGCATGTCATTAATGACATCGCTTTTATTCACCACCAGGCCGTTCAAAGTAACCGCAGTCTCCTCCAAATAATCTGCCCGCTCGTTACCTCAAACACCCCCACAAATAAAGAGATGAGTTGAGTTGATTCAAGAACCGTCATTACAGCACTCGGGGCATTCCCAAAAGCGCTCTGTCCTTATCTTTAGCAGCCAGTGAAGAGTTCCGATACTAATGGTGCCAGTAGCATTCTGATTAAACTTCGGTCTTGCCTTTCCTCTGAGCCTCGAGCATATGCCTGAATCTCTCGTCACTCCTCGCTGCATCAGTCTCACCAGTCTGGTGATCCATCTGCTCCTTCAAACTGTACACGCTCTCCCACAAGGCACTAACCACGTCTGCCTTATCATGCATCAGTATTCCACCAAGTTGGGCAGAGCCAGCCAGTCTGTCCGCCTATTCATTTCCCAACACACCGGCGCTACCCAATACAAAAATCCAGAGAATACTCCTCACCCGTACCCTCCGCAGTAAAGCATGCCACTCTGCACGAAGCATGCCTATCCCAACCTTCCTCAGCATGCTTTCTGAGTCAGTTACAGTCACGATATATATATAAATGCGTGCGTGTGAGCGAGCGAGCGTGCGTGCGTGCGTGTCTCTCTCTCTCTCTCTCTCTCTCTCTCTCTCTCTCTCTCTCTCTCTCTCTCTCTGTCGTGCCCCACAGATAAAGGTTACACCTAATGTTTTATGACTAGAGTTAGTTAATAAGTTAGTAGATAATCGTTGCTGCACGTACAACAATTTAGCTGGTAAGTGCTACCATCCCCCCCGCTCTCTCTCTCTCTCTCTCTCTCTCTCTCTCTCTCGTTCTATATATATATATATATATATATATATATATATATATATATATATATATATATATATATATATATATATATATATATATATATATATATTTGTAGTTTATTTTCTCCTCAGTATATTCCTTTGTGTCGGCGTCAGTGGCTAAGGCGTTGCGCACGCTCTTCGTAATACCGGGGAGCCCAGCTGTGGGCCTTGCGCCTTGCGTTGGTTTCGACAGTGGTATTGAAAAGCCGACCGTCCAGGAAGCAATGGCAAACTACTGGGCGTAAATTTGCCTAGTAAAACCACAACAGCCAATGCTGGTGTTGGTTCTGCAACGTCCAGTAAAGGATACGCAGCTAACAACACATTCCTTTGTACTTTGTAACAAAAATTTTCGCCACGAAACAGTTTATTTGAAAACACCTGGAGTCAGCAACTGTAATGAGAAGGGCAATCACAGAGATAAATGGATCCGTGTTGCTGCTTTATTTTTAATTCACTCAAACTAAGGAAAACCGGAGTTGACGGGAAAGCCCAATATTCTAAGGGCGTCATGTGTTTGGGGTTAGGATCTTTGTCAGCCACGACCGCCTCAAAGACAAAGACTAACCGACTAACCCTGACATTTACCCTTATTCTAAGCCCAAACCCCAACCCATACCACCCCTAAAATATTGGACGTTCCCGGAAACTCCGAGATTTCCTTTGTTTGGGGTAATTTAAAATAAAGTACTCGCTGGTGAAATCTGCAGAACTGAACCTGTGAATGACGACGATGAAACAAACATTGAACACGTTTTATACCCTATGTCTACTTTCAAAAACATAAGAATGGGGCACATGGCAGCTATGATGCTTATCAACACAAGCATTACAGGCAGGCCCGGAGTTAGACTTCATGAATCACAGAGGCTCTAGCGTCTTAAATTACACAAACTAGTCTCAGAACAACTGTAATGTGTATACGTCTTTTCGATATATGGATAACGGAAATACAAGTATATCGTCTTTTCATTTTGATTACAGGTTTGAGGTTTTGGGGTTTTGAACAACGGATCAACATCATGACATACGGGTGTAACCCATAAGTGCTTCGTTCTTCTTCTAACTCAAGTCTGAGCCCGAAAAAGCTCAGCACAGTGCACAGGCTCTGTAGCACCGGCGAGGATCCCGAAATACTTTGGCTAGATTTTTAACTCAAAATTTTGCCAGGGGCAGCGCCGTTGGGCTACTCTTTTTTATTTCCAACTGTCCAGGGATTTTTTTACGTACACACGGGCGTCCGATCTCACTACCCAGAGACCGGGGGAATTACTAGAAGTCCAAGTCCACGTGAAAAAAATCCCAGCCCTTACCGGGGATTAAACCCGGAACCTCTAGCACTCTAGGCGGACACCGTGCCTCGAGACCACGCAGCCCGCAATTTTTATTACAATAAATAATAAAGAAAGAATTTGCAAAATCAAATACATTTTATTACATTACACTTTTAAATAATAAAACAAATTAAAATACATTCAAATAAACTTTCACGGTGCTTTCCTTTTTACTCTAAACAGACAGTTCAATATTTCAGGGGGTGGTAGACAGGCTGCACGCAGTCTTGGAACCTAGGCTGCATGCAGTTGTGGGACCTAAGCTGCACTCTCTCGTGGGGCGTAGTTGGGTTGGGGTCGGGTCCACTTCTGGATGTTTTGGGGTAGTTAAAAGCACCGCAAAGCTGGGAAACCCGGTCTTACCATCCTATAAAATATTGGACTGTACCCGTGACGTCATCTGGAGTGACTTACTTTGAAAGAACCACTTGCACTTGTGAAAAAATAGGCCCCTGCTAAATGTGAGGCTTTAAGCTCTAGCTATTTTAGCTTGTACCTGAATGCAGCACGAATTACATGAGATAAATCCACGAAAATCCATGACAGGTGAAGAAATAGGGCAGATGTCAGAACAACCACCGGTATCAACAGTATAAGACAAAGGAGATGGTGATGTACAGGGTTCACGATCAGGACAAACGGATGGTGAATGCACTAAGCATACTCTCAAATGCGGCGTCCGTGGTCCAGACGTTGCGAGTAGGATTCGTAATTCTAACGTAACGCGACTGAAACCCACTGCTGGCTGTGTGGATTGTTATCATGGTATGGGTACCAGGATGAATGTCCTGGGGAAGTAAGAACGGCCGGCGTAATGCTGAACACGTTACCCACCTTGTGCCGATTGGTATTAAAAAAAGGGGTGGGGGGTGGGTGCTCTTCCAATATGCCACATGCACCTAAAGCCGGGCAAAGATATCTTTACTTGTTATACACTCAAAAAGGAAGTAAATGGATTGAGAAAGCGAGGATGTCAAAAAGGAACCCAAGGGATAACATTGTTGGGGGAGGCCAAAGGTGCTTGACTGCATTCCGTCCTTGACACTGATACAATCGATATGCATAGGAACTAATGGAATGGGAGAATAAAGTAAGAACCCTCTATGATAGGTAACGACATATATGACGGCAAACCAATCAAATGGTTACTTTAAATTACAAATTGTACATTGACTTCCTAAGTGAAACCAACGGAAACATGAATTTAAATTACAAATTATACATACTAAGTAAAACCAATGGAAACAAGACTATAAATTACAAATTGTACATTTACTACCAAAGTGAAACCAATGGAAACATGAATTTAAATTACAAATTATACATTTACTATCTGGGAGCCACCGTGGTCTAGCGACTAGACGCTCGCCTGCGGATGGGAAGGTCGTAGGTTCGAGTCCAGATGGGAGCCAGACTTGGCTCCCAGGTTTTAGACGGCTTTTTAATTTCCTCTGTTGAGCTTTCTAGCACAAGTTTTCTTGTAGTGAGTACTTCTGTTCGTAGACTATCGTCGTGCTAATGTCTATTTGAATCTTCTACTCCGCGTCTATTAAACCCAACCAACGCCTATAAATAGATTCGCCAAGCTATTACAACAGTTTCCACTTGTGGCGTTAGGCATCAAGGGGAGGATAAGTCTGCGGTCCAAAGCAGGAGTAGTGGTACTTGGCCCTTTCATGCTATGCAATGTCTAAGATGTTCCCGAACAACCGAAATGTAATGAAAATAATGGCTGGAGTGACTATAACTCTCTTAAGGTATGACTGCCCGCTGCCGAAGTATTTTAGTTGAAGTATTTCAGTTTACGAGAAATTATACTGTTTGTGAGCCAGTCTTTTTTGGTCTCATATTAAGATTATGGCGCTCCTTTGAATCATTCCCCAAAATGGCGGCATGCCACATTCTGGCCATAAAATATCAAAAAATATCCGAACGACGGTGTTCGCGTATATCTAAAATACGGACTTTCTGCCAAGGAACAAATCGTGGCAAAACTAGGATTACTTGACAATCAATATCAACATTTGCACATGGTACTAGTAGCAGACGATAAATACCGACTGTTGACAATAATTTCGAGCGTTTCTGCAGACGAGACTAGCAGACGATATTAGCGACCGTTGACCAATTTCGAGACATTACAGACGATGAAAGCCGATTAGCAATACTGTGTTCTTCCGATTGCAGGATTAAGCAGCGGTAGATGTTAGACTTGTCGGCATGCGCCAAACGCGATTAAACTCATCGCCGAGTGTATCCCCCGCGCCGCTACTCGCGGCGCAGATGGGGGGCTAAACTAGGTGCCTGGGACTCACGAGTACAGTAATTGGAGGAAGTTGGAGGAGATGCAGTAGCTGCCGCTCGTGAGTCCCAGCCATCTAGTTTAGCCCCCATCTGCGCCGCGTGTAGCGGCTCGGGGATACCCACGGCGGTGAGGCACACTCGCAAAGGCAGGTCGGCAAGTAACGCATCTTCGAGACCCTGTCAGAGCATTTGTTTCGTTATCCGGAGCCGGCACATATATTTTTAATAGAACTGACCCGCATTCGGATATTTTTGGATATTTTATGGCCAGAAATTTGCCAATTTAGCTCTCTTTCGAACGCCATCATATTAAAGCCGCCATTTTGGGGAACGATTCAAAGGAGAGCCAAGATTATTTATAATTTATACTAAATATACATATAAAAATGAATGAAAACGTTAAATAAAGAAGTCAATATTTCCTCATAATGAGGTACATAAAAACATTCACCTCGTTACACGAGATAAAAACGTTACTACTGGAAATGTACTGTTTACCCAGTGATACAGACATGTGCACACGAATCTTGTGTGTGTGAATGTGTGTTTTTTCGCCCCGTTTTTTTTTTTTTTTATATCTCTATCGCTTGTGGAAGATTTCTCAGTTAATCCTCAAGAGGGACATTAAACAAAATGAAACATCAGTACATGACTTCCAAAGATGCAAACACACACACAATGTGTAAGCATGTCATCATTATCATTATCACCATCATCATCATCATCATCATCATCATCATCATCATCATCATCATCATCATCATCATCATCATCATCATCATCATCATCATCATCATCATCATCATCATGTGCCTACAACAAGCGTAGGCAGTCAAGTTTTGCCATCTCACTCGATCACCAGAATCACGGACAAGACCAGTGCTCTTATCTCACACCATCCACATGACCAAGCAATCCGAGTGCATTCCTTTTCATAGCATTTACTGACTTTCTAATTTCTCTTATCAGTTTTAGGCAGGGGTTAGTAAACTATCGCCTGCGGATCACAGTCGGATCGCCGAGCAATGCATTTCGTTTTCTGGCCCAAGAATCTGAACTAAAATTACTTTATAGTCTAGCCCTTGAGGAAACAAAGTATCAAAACAAATAACCATCTTGAACACACAGGTTGGTATTTCTAAATTTGGCCCGAGGAAAGAAAATGTTGCCCACCCCTGGTTTAAGATTTCCACCTGTCTCCAGAACTACTAATGCATCCTAATACCCCTTTCCATAAGTGGGATGTACCAGAGTTAGTACTGAACATTCCTCTGGAGCACTCTTCTGGGATACTGCTCTTGGAAAAAAAAAGGGGGGGGGGGGGGGGGGTGGGGGAGAAAGAATTCTTTACTCATAATGACAGTCGGTTTCGCTAGGCTGGTATAGCCATTACGGGTGCCACAATTAAATAACTCTTTTGAAGACTGAAAGGGACTGAAAGGGATATTTGGGATTTGCCTTGTGGCTTGCCTTCCAGGTTAAAATAATCTTAGGGTAGTTAAACTCCCAGGCAGTAGCCTGGAGTGGAAAAGTGGAGCGACTGAAGTACATTAAAGTCTGCACTTCTCTTTGTAGATGAGCTCTGGTATGAGGCTGCAAGACAAAGTCTCTTGATAAACCTGGATTTAGCAATTGACGGGTCAAGACACTTCACAATCACAGTAATCAGCCAGCTTGTGGAAATTCTAGTCAATCAACAAGTCGGAAAAAAACCCTCAACCAAGTAGCCAGCATTCTGGTCGAATAACGAACTAGCCAGCCATCTAAGCTAACAATCAAATAAACAGTCAGCCACCCAACTAGCCAATCAAATAATAAAACAACTGACTAACCATCTAGCCAGTAATAGAGTTTAAAAAAACAAATCTAATCAGTCTGCCAGCCAATCAAATAACCAAACCAGCAGGTCAACCAATCAACAGCCAGCTAGTAAACAAAATATATCCAGTCCAATCAGCCTGCCGGCCAATCGAATAACCAAACCAGCAGGTCAACCAATCAACAGCCAGCTAGTAAACAAAATATATCCAGGTAACTAGCCAATCAACTAACATGTACTGTTGACATCTTTTCGTCTTTCCAGATAATAATGATAGGCATCGGAATCAGTTCGATATTATATAATCCATTTTCGTCCTTTTTAGGATGAAATTTTTTGTTATTTGAAGCCCCACCCTGGCTTTTGCCGGGGGCCGCAATATAGGCAGCAATTGTCTGAACGCGGTTTCTGGGACCTCTCCACGGTGATCCTCATCAGCATGGTGGCACTTTGTGTCATCGGGTGTTTATCGCTTGTGTGATGTCCTGGTGGGGTAGAAAGTCAGTCAGTCAATCAGTTCGAGGCAATGATGAGTGTAGCTAGTAAGTCCAGCCAACCAACCATTGTATCTAACTAACAACATAAAGCCAACCTATCAACAAGCAACTACACTAATTAACTACTTATGCAACCAACTGAATAATTAAATAACAGCACTCTTTCCATTCTAATCACGACATTTTACTTTTACAACGACATAACTTGTTCAAGTACCTCACTTTTCTGCTACTATCACGACATTTTACTTTTACAACGACATAACTTGTTCAAGTACCTCACTTTTCTGCTACTACACAAACTGAACTGAACCTGACGGTATTTTCCAAACCTATGTCATCGATGAGTTAGGTATCAAAATGCGCCATAAACTTTGTCGGACATTCTCATAAACTCTTCGTCCCCATCTTCAGCAACCAGCGCTGAGTTCAAATACTAATTTTGCCAGTTGTCTGATGAAATAGTCGGCCTACTAATGAGCGTTGTGTAGTTCACTTTGAGAAAAGTCCAGGCCGAAACGTCGATTTGTCTTGTTGTGTGCATATTGTTCTTCTTCTCCCTTTCGTTAAGCTTTTCAGTCACAGTTTATTGAATCAATTTCTTACCGTCGAGTGTGTACCAGATCTAAAGATGATTGAATCGCCATCTTTAACATCCGTTCTCCTTAAATTTCATAAGCAGCTGGCAAATCTGCGTTGGATCTTTAACATCAGGGTGGAGGTTTAAAACTTTCCTAACAATCTGCTCTCCGAAAACACTACTTAGGTGATAATAAATTGTGTAGCGAGGGTCGTTTGGCAAAATTTCCGAATCTTCCTCGACAATCTGGCAGTTCACCACAGGCTGTAATGATTGGCTGCTGTTTTGGGGTGTGCTGTTCTGCTGAATGAGCATGGGATATGAATGTAAAGATGGTACCGTAGATGGTACCACAGACAAGGAGCTGTTAGTTGGTCTATACACGGTGGATGGTTGGGGATAAGGTACGCTGCTTTGACTGTATGAAGAATTGTAAATATGCGATCCGGATGTCTCCTGTATTAATGGTGTTACTGTACACTGTGGAAAGTATGGGATTTGGGAGTTGTTTGGAGATTGTATTGTATTGGGGTTTGGGTTGTACTGGCCATGCTGTGTTGCTGTTTCCACTGGCGAAAATAGATCTAGGTTAGCTGATGAAAGGGACTGTTCCCAGTTCGCCAATCTAGACTTCAGTATAAACGGAGGCGGCTGAGATGATTCCATTTGTTGTTGGTGCTGCTGCTGTGTAGTGAATATATCGTGACTGTTGTGTTGCTCGTGTTGATAGCTCTGTTGGAAGTTTTGCTGATGGAAATACTGGAACTGTTTCGGGAACTGTTGGTTTCGTGAAGAATAATAGTTGTTAGGGTTATTGGCATGGGTGTCTTGGTATACTGAGGATAACCCATTTGGAAATTTCCCACCGCCTGAAGAACTGTGAATTTCTGGATCTGAGATACTGTTCTGTCTTCTCAAACCCGGCGACTGACCTAACTGACATGGTGTAGGTGCCAGCTGAGCCAGCATCCCGTGGTGTGGGTGGTGGTTTGGCGCCATGTGGTCACTACCAAACTGAGATGTGGAAGAACTAGACCTTCTCATGGCAAGCTTGCGTTGAAACTCTTCTGCAGTTCGCACATTGTCGGTGGAGCTGTAAGCCCGATGTAGACCCATAAGCTTTTGAGCTATCGCTGGTTGTACATTGTTCAATGGTGGATAACTGTTATAGACCTGAAAATGTCCTTCAGTGTGGCTTGGAAATGTCGTTCGCACCCCCTCAGCTGAGGTATAGATGCCACTGTCAGGTGAACGTCGATCCAAGCAATCGCTAAACATCCTCCCATCGAGGATTTCGTGTCTGTAGGGAGGTGATCTGAGCCTACTGTCAATCTGTTGGAGGAATAGGGGTGCTGAATGTGTATGTGCATTTGTGCTCATACTCCGAGCCAAACCGGGATAATGACCCATCACTGGCATGTATACTTGTTGGCTTTGTGGTTTATTAACAGGATATACTTGCGAAGAACCTAAAGAGGTGCTAAATTTGATATCTTGCCTAGATCTCAATTCCCCCTGGACATGCTCGTTTGTTTTGCCCAGAAAAATAGCCTGATCTGATATCTGCGCAGAGGAAGAGTTTAATAGATGGTCGGAGAAAAAGTTGCTTTCTTTGTTTTCATACGATAGTTTCTTTGCTAAGAGCAAATGCCCACTAACGTATCTTTCTTGACTTTCTAGTGGTTCAATATTCTGAAGGGTTGGATAAACCTCAGACTTTGTATTCGAAACATTCAATACCGATGATGGCGTTAACTGGCCATCTGAAGCTAATGTGTTCTCTATGGAGGCTTCATCTTGGCGAGTTGAAGCTCCGGCGCTTGAAGGATTTGACTCCAAGAGTTTGACAGAATTATCAGAATCAAAGACATTCAATGATGATTTCTCTACAAAAGATAAATCACCAATGATCATCTGGCCTAAAGCTACTGCAAGTTCAGCCTCCTCCAACTTCTTTCTAGGCTCATTGAGATAATCTGAAGATTTTTCTGGCAAAATTAAAGACTTTGAGTGACCAAGCTTTGGCTTGCCTTGTTTTCTCCTTGCCTCACCTGTATCAGCTGGTGACGATAGGGCAGGTACGCTTTCACTAGGTATCATAGACTTGGCTCTGGAAAGCTTCTGCTTATATCGTCTCTCTTTCTCAGCCACTTTCAGCATCTTTGAAGCTCTCTCTTGAAGCTTTAGCTGGGCATGTTCTTTCAGAGTTTCTGTTATTGATTTCTGAGGAACGAAACCTCGTTCTGGATGATAGAAGCGGCATTTGTTACCATAAGTGCACTTCTTGCCATAGGGACAAGTTTGTGGCTTTGGGTGACGTTGTAACGGTGTCTTGCATAAAAAGTCATCCAGCGTTGGACCCATTCGACCCAGGGGATCCTCTGGTGGCATGAACCTGAGTGTAACAGATTGTTATGAATTACTGAATGGGAAAAGGTAGCTTAAATTCAAGAACATAAAATAACAACTTTTCACGCCCTTCTCTCATTCTTCTTCAACCCTTCAACTTCCTCTTAGCCTGCCACTTAATCAAAATCTCTCTCATGATTTCCCCCATCTCCATCATCATCATAACCACCACCAACATCATTATCTACACAAACATCATCACTATTACCACCAGCATCATTATCTACACAAACATCATCACTGTTACCACCAACATCATTATCTACAAAAACATCATCACTATTACCAGCACCATAATTATCACTACCGTCATAATTATCACTAATTCCTCACTTTCATTATTAAAACCACTGTCACTATCACCACTTTCACTATCCCCACCTTTATCCGTAATATTTTGACATACATACAAACATAATACATATTTACATACATACATAATACATATATACATACATACATGCTAGAGGAAGAAGAGGGCTGAATTAGGGAGAAAATGCATGTGTACGTGCTTGTGTGAGTATGTATTATGTTGATGTGTATGTATGTATGTGGGTGTATGTTTGTGTGTAAGTGAATTAGTGTTGTTGCTTGTGTATGTGTGTGTGAGAGTGCGCATGCATTTTACCATCCATGCTTTTATGTTTTTCTTCACATTTATATTATGCATATTATTATATGAACATAACATGCTTTATTGATAAAATACAACTGCTGTGTGAAAGATGGGCGTGTGGAAGGGCCGAATGTAAGAAGTGCCTGCCTGTTCAATTTGTGACTCTCTGAAAATAAAGTTTATTTGTTTGTTCGTTCGTTCTTTTCTCCCCTCCCTCACCACCCAAAAGAATAGAAAATAAATTAATCAATCAATCAATCAAACAAACAATCATTTATTCATTCATTCATCAATTCAATCAACCGTTGTCTCCACCGCACGCCAGAAAGTCTCTGCTTTTGTAACAAATTATCCAGCCCTATGTGCTTTCATAGCCAATGCATCTCAAATGTCATATATCCACGATCGTGCAAGTCGGCCTCTGCCTCGTTTTCCGGAAACTGTAACCTCCATCACCGTTCTCTCCGGACAACCACGGCGCTTGACATGTACAAAATAATTCAGTTTCAGTGACAAAGAATACCATTTTAATGTACAGCTGTCAGAGTCTGTGTTCTCACTCAATTTAATCGAGAACACAGGCCTGATCCGTGACTTTAATGCACTTGTGAGATGGCAAACCATGACTACCAACGTTAACCGGCACAATACATGATGAGAAATAGTAACTAGCCACAGACTTACCTGTCATTCACAAATGAGTACATCAACAGCCTCTGATCAACAACGTGTCTGAACTCCTCCCTCTCACGGACCAGGTCCCGGTACACATCGTTAGATACCACAATGCCATCAGTCTCCACAGCCAGCTTCAGGATGAACCGGTCATCATAGCAAACCACTCGGCGACCTTTCACCCTGCGTGCAGGAGTGAACACAACTATACCTTGCTTTTCTAGTTCGTACAAAATGTCCTGGTCTGGAAAAAAAAAAAAATCCGTCATTTATAGTTACAATTTTCACCATTATTGGTATGGTAATATTGTTGCTAATCTTGAATTTCTGGAGTGAAGGATTCACAGTTTAACTTGACAATGTGATTTGTGTCATCATCGTCATCATGATAACGTGCCCTGCCAATTGCGTCGGCGCTCATGCGTCTCAACAGATCACGATCCCTGGTTGACTAGAACAGATCTCTTGATGATATTCCTCCATGCAATCGTTTTAGCCGATCCAGCATCGTCTCTCTTGATCTCCCTCTACCCCTTTTCCTCACTGATCTTTCCAGTTGTCACGATGTTCTCCAATGTCTCTCTTCTCATTATGTGGCCAAATAACAGTGTTTGTCTCTTTATTTTTGTTGTATATAGAGATCTACTTTCAATAGCTTCTTTCAAACAATCGTTGTTAGTTACTCTGGTCGTCCAAAGTATTTGTAACATTCGTCTCAGAAACCACATCTCTGTTGCTTCCAAATTCTTCCTAATTTGTTCACTGACATTCTAAGATTCGCTGCCACACAGCAGAACAGGTTCTATGTAACACTTTAGCACTCTCTTTCTGACATTAAATGAGGGCGATTTATTGCATAAAATATTTTTCATTTTCTGAAATGCAGCTTTCGCTTGACCTATTCTGCTTTTAATTTCCGTCACACATTTTCCATCTGAAGATATGATTGTTCCCGTTTATTTGAATTTATTGACTTGGTTAAGTCTTTTCCCTTCAATTGAGATATCACAACGTGGGGTTATCTCCTTCTTTGATTTAACCACTACTTCCATTTTCCTAATATTCAGTGAAAGTCCTTTCTTAGCAATCTCCATTCCCCCACAATATCCAACAGTTGCTGTAAATCAGTTGTATTTTCAGCTATCGAAACTGTATCGTCTGCATAACGCAAATTATTTATACTGTATCCTTTTGTTTATTGTGATTTGTGTATTTCAGTGAAAAAAGTAATTGTTTCTTGCTTAATTAAATACTGATTAAACTCTGCAGTAAAACATCTGCCAAACAATAAACTGTGCAGTGTTTTGAGTCCACATTACAAATCATTTGCTCAGCCAATTAGTATGGAAACAAAACGGATGGTGTTCTATCCGCAATGAAGATTGGCTGCAGTACTCTCACTGCTGTCTCACTTTGGATATTACCAGGTAAGACCTCGACCTCTGTCACGGTGCGACTCTCATACAATTGTGTGAATGTCACGAGAACGATATTTTAAAGACATAAAACCCTAACCGTAGTATGTCCAGTATTATGAAATTGTGAAATGCATTCACTGTTAGCCACAAAACCCCACTGTTAGCCACAAAACCCCACTGTTAGCCACAAAACCCCACTGTTAGCCACAAAACCACACTGTTAGCCACAAAACACTGTTCATGCATCTTTGCAAATCACCACCTGTGCCATTTATGTTGATGTTAAACACTTCACCGTTCTAAATGATCCTCCATCATCTTCATCCGCTCCCCCCCCTCTCTCCCTCTCTCTCTCTCATACCTCTCCTGCTTCTCCTGCCTCTCCTGCTCTTTTTCTTTATAGTCGCCACATTGTTCTCCAGGGCATAATTTGTCACACTACCAAAGTAATGGTATTAGTAGACAGAGAAGAAGTTGCAATAATACTAGTAGTAGTAGTAGTAGTAGTAGTAGTAGTAGTAGTAGTAGTAGTAGTATAATAGAATGTGAAAAATGTAACAGTAATAACAGTGACAGTAAAGTATCAAGTAGTAAAGAAGTAGTCGATGTAAAGTAGTAGTGCAATAGAAGATGAAAATGTAACAGTAAAATAAGTAGTAAAATAGTAGTGGTAGTAAAGTAGTAGCAGTAGTTGTTGTATAGTAGTAGCAGTTGTTGCACAGTAGTAGTAGTAGTTGTTGAATAGTAGTAGTCGTTTTTCTGTATAGTAGTTGTAAAGTAGTATTAGTAGTTATATAGTAGTAGTAGTTGTAGTAATAGTAGTTGACTAGTAGTAGTATGGTGGTAGTAAATGATGTTGCAGCAGTAGAAGAGGTGGTAATAAACATTTTAAAAAGCAGTAGCTGTAGTAGTGACGGTAGCAGAAGACGTTTCAGTAGTAGTAGTAGTAAAATTTGCACATTAGTACTAGTAGTAGGAGTTGAAAGGCAATAATATATGTTGCAGAAGCAGCAGTAACAGCAGCAGTAGTCGCCGAAGAAAAAAAAAAGTAACATGACACCAGGAGGAGGCGAAGGAGGAGGAGGATCATGAAATAATGTAGAGAAGACAAGGAAAAAAGATGAGGAGGAAGACAAAGATAAGAAAAAAATTAAGATTGGAATAATGATAACACGCTGCTGGCAACAAACTGGATATTTTACCTGTAATGAGAGCATCTGGCCGTGACGCTTCCTTTCTCCACTGAGGGATGAAGACGGTGATGTTCTCATGTCCCCTGGCCTGGAACCACTCAACAGCTATTTGTATCCCCCTGCACGAGAAGACGTTTTTCCCATGGCTGCACAAACAGATGAAAACACACGTTTTAACCCTTGGGATGGCGGGCAGTCGTTCTCTACAATGGTGCACAACTTATAGAAAAAAGACAAGTAAAGGACTCTTCTCGACGCCTTCAGGCGTACTGGGCATAAAGGGTTACACCTATGTGCAACTTATAATAATGAATCTAAATATATGGGGCATCGATACACTTCACTTCTTATGTACCCTAAAACAACTAAAGCTTTCACAAGAAACATGAATGAGGAGTTTTAAAGATTGGGAAAAGAAAAGTAGGTAAGGTGGAGTCTTTAAGAAAGACGAAGTGGTAGGAAGAGGAGGGCAAAGAAGGTGATAATAAGGAGAAAGATGAAAGAACAAACAGAAAGGTGTGGCGAAAGAGAGGAACACAATGTAAAGGAAAAGAAATATAAGATAATATATATATATATTCTCATTGTAAATATTATTATTATCATTATGATTATTATAGCTGATTCTGGTATTAATAAACTCTTCATACATTCGCAATTTACTCTATATCTGGTACACTATTTATCCTGCCTTCTATCTCTATTAGATACACCTGTATCGTTCGATTGCACCGTTCTGTCTCTCTAGGCGATAGTAATTATAATATGTTATAGTTAGGAATGCATTCCACAGAAAAATAAGTCCAGAAATGAAAGTCCTACTCTCCATTGCACAGTGCTTGGGTAGTATTGTAGAGGCCATATATTACCTATGCAGCGTGATACCTCAACCAGACTGCCTTGTTTATTCCAAACGAAAGGTAATACCAATATGCTTTGAAAAAGAAAAAGAAAAACACAGGCGGTCATAAATCAGCCTTTTAATCTTCATTACTGGGAGTAAGTTGGTTGTAGGCTGTGTCAGAGACTGAGTTTAAATCCAAAAGTCCCCCCCCCCCCACCCCCGCTTTCAACCCACAAGAGTCGATATTCCAGCATTCAAAGCATTGCACTAAATCCCCTTCCATAAGTTTAGCAGCCTTTACAGAGTTTCGCAACACTAATGGCACCTGCTTAGTCTGACTGTACTTCGCCTTGCCTTTCCTCTGAACTCTCAGCTGTCCTCACGATCTTCTAGTCACTGTCGAAAAAGCGACTGATTAGTTCACTGAAATCGTATGAGTTTGTGTCGGAAGGTGCTGAAATCACAGTCTAGAAGTAAAAACAACATAACTTACCAAACACCTTTTTAAGGACAAACAAGGAAGAAGAAGAAGAAGAAGAAGAATACGAAGAAGAAGAAGAAGAAGAAGAAGAAGAAGAAGAAGAAGAAGAAGAAGAAGAAGAAGAAGAAGAAGAAGAAGAAGAAAACGAAGAAAAAAAAAAGAAGAAGAAGAAGAAGAAGAAGAAGAAGAAGAAGAAGAAGAAGAAGAAGAAGAAGAAGAAGAAGAAGAAGAAGAAGAAGAAGAAGAAGAAGAAGAAGAAGAAGAAGAAGAAGAAGAAGAAGAAGAAGAAGAAGAAGAAGAAGAAGAAGAAGAAGAAGAAGAAGAAGAAGAAGAAGAAGAAGAAGAAGAAGAAGACGAAAAAGTTGAAGACGAAATAGGAGGAGGAGTAGAAAATCACTGATGGGGAAAACCTGAAGAGCAATAGCCTGAAAGACTTGTGGGGATAGACTCTGGGGATAGACTCTGGGGATAGACTGTGGACCTATGCTTCACTAAAGGATAAAGTTCAGATAAGTAAGAGAATACCCAGTTTTGGAGTTCACCCGTTCTTACTACATCCTTAAAGCTAACGTACCTACAACCTGGCTAAATACTCCAAGCTAAACTATACAGATTAAAGTCCTTCTTGGAAATACCCAGTTCAAAAATAGCTACAACAGATAGAAAACCTTGGCCAGTGTTTTTCCAAAGTGCGCAGTTATCCGTCATGTGACCAATTTCTTGAGAAGATTGTTATAGCAAGCTTGAGAATATTTCCTGTGTTTGGTCATCTTTATTTTGTGTCATTACGAGACCTTGAAACCAGGAAGACTATTTTGGAGATAGTCTATTTTAATATCACATGGTTTGTTTGTGAAACCTGACGCTTGCCATATTAAGGAGTAGAGTGGGTACACGTAAGGCCCACGTGCTGTCTCAGGCCCGCGATACTATTTTGTCAGGCACCGCCAAAGTAACCGCAGATGCATCAAGGACCTTTTTCACGACAATGGTACCATGGGTATATGGTTCTGGACCAGGCGAGCGGACACAACGAAAACATGATTAGGAAGAGGGGGGGGGGGGAGGGGGAGGCTTCTCAGTCATACTGAAATTATATGGGACAATCAGGAGGCTAAGCCTAGTTTAAATGAATGATAATAATGATGAATATAAAAATTTGCTGTGCAGCAAATTACTTTTTTGCTGGTACCTATTTTAGGCTAAGACAACATGGGCGTCAAGATCATTTTTAAATATAATCAGCCACGATAAGGATTCGAACTTTGTACAGTAGAGCGGGCAGGAAATGGCGTAGCCACTACACTACTATAGGTTCCAACAATAGAAGAGATTTAATTAAATAGTTGACTTATACTGCTGGTTAAGTTTATTATCTTGTCTGTGCCATGAATGATGCTATAAATTTCCGAATGGTTCTTAGGAGGAAATATATATATCGAGCACGAAACCCACATACAGAGTTAATGCACTAGCAGGAGAAACTTTAATTTCTCATTTAGCTTATTACCTATAAATGATAAAAACGGTTTTCCACTTCTGCTTCAGGACCATCTGATGTGAACAAGTAAAACAGCTGATTTAAGGGTAAGGCAAAAGTCGAGTTTTTATTACCCCTGGCCTTTCTATTTCCCAGAATTATGATGTGAATCTTCTATATCCTATAGAACCGCTGTGGTCTAGCCACTAGACGCTCGCCTGTGGATCGGAAGGTTGTAGGTTCAGGTCCTGACGGGGCCGGGTTTTGTGTGTGTTTCAGAAATGACCTTGGCTCCCAGGTCCACCCAGCCTTACAATGGGTACCAGGTACAGACGTGGGAGGAAAGGCGGCCGGCGTGATGTTGACCATATCACCTACCGAGTGATGATTGGTCTATAAAATATAGGTAGGAGCCCGAAACGCATGAAAGCGTGGAAACGGGTCCTTTAATTTTAGTCTATATCTTCCTTGAGGACAAAAGAGGACAGTCGGATGGGAGTTTAAACTTGACCTGGCGTCAAACAACAACATTGAGGATTTTTGTTGGGCTATTAGCGAATAGGTCGGCTCTGTGGCTAAGTCGATGCGAACGCTTCTTAATGCCGGGATCCTGGGTTCGATCCCAGCTGCGGGCCATGCGCCTTGCGTTGGTTTCGACAGTGGTATAAGGAAAGCCGATCGTCCAGTAAGGAAAAGCAAACTACTGGATGTAAATTTGCATAGAAAAACCACACAACAGCCAGGGGCTATTGTGGGTTGGTTCTGCAACGTCCTGTAAAGGATACGCAACTCAGCTATTAGCGAATAGAGCATGTATTAGCTAGCACCCGAGTGATGATGTGGTGAACGTCAGGTCAGTCATTTCTTCTTTTCATGAAGCCTAACATTCATACAAGCACGGCTCTTGATAATAGTAAATCATGATTCCCCATCTCACAAGCTGGTTATTCTCTGATCAGATCAGTGTTCTTTTGTCAGTTCTTGTTTTTCTATTTCGTAAATATCTGTTTTCCTTTCCATGACGTCGCAGTTTAATGATGATTGTAGTCGAGCCGGGGCACGCTCGGTTATAAGGAAGGCTGCGATGTTGTGAGGTCTCAAGCTGTCAGTCACTCGTGTAATTCATCTTCTTCTAGGTCTCACTTCGCTTTTTGGTTTTTCCATTTGCATCTTATACACCCTCGCTATCGGGATCATTGGGTTCATTCTCAATAGATGGCCAAACCATTTCAACCTGTGTTTCTCATTAAATGTAATGAATTGTATCGTTCCAATAACTGTTCTATTCTAATTTTGTTTAACATAAACAGCGCTAACTGA